GATGATGAATCAAAGACTGCATTGCCGATTTCTGTTGCAGCCAATCATCTAGAGCGTCCACTGAACAAGCTGAAGAGGAATCAATGCCCAATTGTCTAGCTGACTGTCCATACAGAGCCTCAAACGGCGGGCGGTTGAGCGCCGAATGCCATGTCGTGTTGTACCAGAACTCCGCGAGGTGAAGCCAGTCAAAACATTTGCCCGGAGATGCATTGGAAAAGAGCGGAGGAAAGTTTCCATACACTGATTGACACCCTCCGTTTGCCCATCCGATTGCGGGTGGTATGCTGAACTGATCCGCAAGTCCACGCCTGCTAAGCAAAACAACTCACGCCAGACTTTACTGGTAAAAATCCGATCTCGGTCTGACACCAAAGCTTGAGGTAGACCATGGAGGCGATATATGTGCTGCATGAACTGCTTGGCTACAGACAATGCTGTAAATGGATGCCTCAATGCCACAAAATGACTGTATTTGGAAAATAAGTCAACCACAACCATAATGCAGTTGTATCCATGAGATGGTGGTAAGCCTTCCACGAAATCCAAGGATATAACTTGCCAAGCAGTAGAAGGAGTTTCCAGGGGTTGCAACAAACCTGGGTATTTAACTCGCTTCGGTTTAGCTTGCTGGCATGTCGGGCAGCTCTGGACAAAGTCAGTGATATGCTTCTTCATACCTGGCCAGGCGAAGAACGACTGAATACGCTTCACAGTAGCTGGAACGCCAGAATGGCCTCCTACCGGGGAACTGTGCAGAGCCTGAACCAATTGGTATTGTAACGCAGCGTTATTGCCAACCCAGATGCGGTTCTTGTACTTGAGGAGCCCCTTGTCCACTATGAAGTTGGGAATTGCATTAGGAGAGGATGCCAATTTGGTAAGCAAGGCCGTGGATTGTGTATCGCACTGATAGCCCGCAATAATGTCAGTAGACCACTTAGGTGTGAGCACAGATATGGCACAGCAAGTTTCCTGATGATGGACTCTGCGAGACAAGGAATCAGCAGCACTATTCTCTGTTCCCTTCTTGTACACAATGCGGTACTGTAACCCCAGTAATTTGATGAACACGCGCTGTTGCCAAACTATGTGTAGCCACTCATCATTAAGATGAATTAAAGCCTTTTGATCAGTGTAAATGATGAACTCGGTCAATTGCAGGTAAGACCGCCACTGATCGACTGCGATTAATATGGCCAAATACTCTTTTTCATATGTTGAAAGACCTTGATTCTTAGTGCCCAACGGCTTACTAACATAAGCGAGTGGATGGCCATTCTGCAAAAGTACAGCTCCGACACCCGTTTGACATGCGTCAGATTCAATAGTGAAGACTTGAGAAAAATCAGGAATCCTGAGAACAGGAACATAATAGAGAGCTTGCTTTAGTGTATCGAAAGACAATTGATGCTCTGATGTCCAGACATATATGGTATGTTTCTTGAGCAAGTTGGTAAGGGGCTTGGCGATCACTGCGAAATTCCTCACAAATTTCTTGTAGAACCCGACGAGGCCTAGAAATCCACGAAGCTCGCGGACATTAGATGGTTGTGGCCACTCTTGTACTGCTGTGACTTTAGCAGGGTCAATATGAACACCACCATCCTTCAGAACGTGTCCCAAGTAATGTATCTCTTGCTTCGCAAAGTGGCACTTCTTAAGTTTAACAACCCAGTGATCTTTAGCTAGCAAAGTAAGCACTTGCTGCAAGTGGCTCAGATGATCTTCATAGGATGAACTGTATACGAGAATGTCATCAAAGAATACGATCACACATTTGCGAAGTAGAGGGCTGAGAGTACCATTCATGGCGCCTTGAAAAGTTCCCAATGCACCAGAAAGACCGAAGGGAGCCACTGTGAATTCATAATGTCCCACATGAGTGGAGAAGGCAGTCTTATGCCCTTCGCCTGGTTGTAAACGGATCTGATGATAACCGAAATACAGGTCCAATATGGATAACCATTTTGCTTGTCCAAGCTCATCCACTAACTGATCAAATACAGGAATGGGATACACATACTTGACTGTGTTAATGCATTGAGATAACGATAGTCAACACAAAAACACCACGAACCATCTTTCTTGCGCACAAGCAACACTAGAGAAGAGAATGAAGATGAACTGAACTGAATTAATCCTTGTGCCAGCATTGTCTACACTTTGACTATCAATTTCATCTTTTAATTGAGGTGGGTACCGGTAAGCCCTTATATTGACTGGTGTAACACCACTGATCAGAGGTATGGCATGGTCATAGGCACGTTTCGGTGGCAGACTATTAGGCACTGTGAACACTGACGGAAACGCATCCAGAATCTGCTGAATGTCGTGGGGCCACGCAACTTGCCCATCAGAAGAAGACTGAATCTCCATAGAAAAGAGTTAGGAAACCATCTCAGGTGCTTTTGTGGTTGATAACCCATGAAGGACTAACTGGTGACCATCATAGGGCATAGTAATCCGCTTAGCCTTCCAATGGATTTCCATAGGGCTAAACCGCTCAAGCCAATCCATACCCAGTATCAAGTCATAAGAATCTAGTTGAAGAATGCGCAGATCATGTGCAAAAGAATGACCCTGCAAAGTAAACTGACAGTCTCGGATTACTGAGGTGCATCCCATCAGTTACCCATTAGCGATCTTCACAGTGGCCTTCAGAGGTACCTGACACAACTGAGGTAATTGGTCAGCAATTGAAGCAGCCAAAAATGAAGAAGAGCTCCCTGAGTCTAACAGTACGACAATAGGAAGGCCTTGAATAATACCGTGGAACCGAATGGTGCGGTGGCTATGTGATCCCATCCTGGCTTCATGAGACAAGGCCAGCATTAACTGCGCATCTGAATCTTCGGCATCATCAGTAGATTGCTCAATGCTGAAGAAATCCCACACTTCCTGCATCGCTTGCAATGACACAGTAGCTACACATTTGTGGCCCCTCGTCCATTTTTCAGCACAGACTTCACATAAGCCTCTAGCACGGCGATAGGTTCAAAGGGTAGATAGCTTGTCATCAGAGCTCTTGAGTGAGGTCTTTTCTGGTAACGGCTTGTCAGCTGCATTTGACTTGGGCCTTGCAATTGTCAGCTTGTGATAAGGCCTGAATCCCGGCCTAGTGTTGTCAGGCTTCAGCACAGATGCAGCGACTTCTTCCTGCAACAAAGCCAACGAATACGCAGTATCGAGTCTAGAAGGGCGTTGTAAAGTAACGACCATCCTAATGTCATCCCGTAATCCATCCATGAATCGAGTGGTGAAATAGTGCATATCAGGATTGTGTTGGTATGCTTTGAGCTGATCAAAAAGTGTGGAGAAGCTTTCAACATAGTCAGTGACAGTTGAAGTTTGGGAGATATGAAACATTTGGCGTACCAACTTGTCACGTTGGTCACGGCCAAAACGGTCATGGAGCATCTTGCAGAAGTCAGGCCAAGGAATGCGATCAGGCTGGGGAATGGATTCAATTCAACGCGCAGCAGCCCCATGAAAGTTCATGCACGAGATTTTAACCCATTGGCGCGGAGGTACTTCGTACATGGCGAAGTAGTCCTCGGCCTGAGAGACCCACAGGCGAGTCGTCTCACCCTCATAGATTGGAAATTTTTGCTTGGGTAGCTTGCCCAGATTGGTTTGAGTGGTTTCATTGGGATGGATACAGGTATGTTAATCATAAGCAACACCATGAAACAGAAACTGCTCAGGGTTGGTTTCAATGTGCGTACCATTGGCCGGGGAATGGGATTGGGTGGAATTCTCCCCAATACCATCCGCCCGTGTAATCAATGCGTCGTGGTGCCCGCTGGGTTGAGCAGCCAATGTTCCCGCAGAAGGACGCGCGGCGGTCTGCTCCAACTGAAGTGGTACGTGGGAGATCACGCCTGTCGACGCCGCAGCATTGTCGAGGAGCGATCGATCCCAGTACTTGGTGAGCTTGTCCACCTTCAACTTGAGGTCATCCATGGCACCCTCCGATGCATGGCGCCATGACTCCAGCTCGCCCGCCGCCTTGACGATGGTGGTGATGCGGCCCTCCTGGCGCTATTCAGCTTCAGTGATGAGGGCGTTCTGGCGGATCTCCGAGTCGGTGATGCAGCGCTCCCAGTTGAGGTCGGAATCGACGAAGCGCTTGGAGATGTTGTCGTCGACCTCGGTGTGCTTGGTGAAGGCGTTATCCACCTCGCTGAAACGCTAATCCAGGTCGCAGCTGCTGTTGGTGAGACGCTCCTCCAGCTTCCGATCCGATTCCGTGAATCGGTGCTCGATCTGTGTCTTCTGCTCGTTGAAGAGGCGGTTCATCTCGTCCACCAGCACTTGGAGTCGGGATTCATGGCGCCTCGACTGCGAGCGAACCGGGTGTAGTGCGGGTGCGACGGCGGTGGCGGCGGTGATGGAGTGCTGTGATCCAGAGCCGACAACCGAATCAGATTACTCGCCTGCCTGGGAATTACGGAGATCGGAATCCCAGCGGCGAATCAAACTCGACAACCCGAGGCGTTTGCATGTAATCTACGATTCGGAGATTGAAGAGTGAATGCAGAGGATGGAAGGAGAATCGAAGGAAGTCTGATACCAGATGTAAGCAGGCAGTGGAAGGGAGGAAGAATAGCAATCAACAAAAGGAAGCAACAGATGAACAAGCACGAATAGGGCGAAGGATGAGTTCTTAGCGATAGAAGGAAGAGTGCTTGGGTTACAATAATTTGTTCATATTTTTTGTTATCCTCCCCTCTCCCTCTCGGGTTACATATACCAGATGCACACGGCTCCTTGCCAGCTGTTTTCTGCTCACTCCCACTCGGGCCCATGGATAGGATTGTTGGGCCTGCGTTCACGCCTTCCTCGATGCGGCCCAAGCTCTGCCTGAATGTGCTCGTCATCTTCAGGCTGGCCATCGTCGATCATGATCTCCTTCAGACTTGTGGCTGCAGTAGCACGGTTGCTGACACTAGGTTACTCGCAGAAGTCGAGGAACCCCGTGTATTCGTGGTTGTTGATCATTGAAATGCTCTTCTGGCGACACCTGAAATTCACCAAAACAACAGGTCTTAGGAAAGAAGTTAAAAATCAAACTAGCTTAATTTATACAAAACAAGTGAAAGAACTAGTATAAGATTCTTTAAGCTCATTTTTCTCGAGGATGCACGTTACAATTGCAAAAGAAATTTAAGTAACACTAAATAATACTTTTAGTTGAATTCAACTTGGACCAGTATGGGGTTAGCAATTCGCCAAGTTAAAGCAAAGTAGCAAGTCAATGAGTTGTCAATAGGTTCATACCCATTGTAAGAGCACTGGCGAAGATAACAGAGGAGAGGATGAAGACAATAACTGATGCTCTCTTGAGCACATGCACGATCTTCCTAACCAAACATTGGCCCCAGAATCCAGCCAATATGGAAATGAAGATGAGGTAGCCAGCTGCAGATAGAGAAACAGTGCATGTAAGAAGTGGAATCTGTGCAGAAAATGTTTACAGATTTCTAACATGGATTTACCAAAAGGGAGGGGGAATCTGTGCAGAAAGTAAAACTCCACCACAGAGAGGGAGGAGGAGAACATCATCACGAATGTTGCTGTTGCACTTGCGACCTGCCAGAAAATTCAACGTGTTCTTAGCATTATTTGCCAATGAAAGAAGTGTATGGACGCAAAGATAACATAAAGTTGTGACATCACAGTTCTTATAAAATTATATATTACACAGAGCTATAAAGTGTGAATAGTACACTTCGATATATTACCACTGATGAATCAACTGGGCTTTGATCAGACTGACCAGACCTCTCTACAGTAAATGCACGGTTTGCTCAAGTTACACGATGCAAGAAAGTTATTCATTCCAAAATCTTGGGTTGACCAATGGAAAAGAATATACTAATTGGCCATAAAGCATTTGAAAATTGTAGAGATACTGCTACTCTATATTGTGAATTCACTGTCCAGGTTCTGACCATTGTACATTGCATTGAACATCCAAACACTACTATATGAATGAGAATCTGGATGCAGCTGTGTTAGAAAAAAAATAGATAGCACCAGAAATAACCGCATTCAGTCATTCACACCATTCTTCCGTAAAGGCGTAACATGTAGTCACCAAGCCATGTAGGCCAGCAAACTATAAAAGATCACATGGGGTCTAATACCAAGTCCTAGCTAGCTGACCCCAGGAAGAGTAGCGCGCAGATGCTACCTGCTCCCTTTCTTTTCTGATGATCTATTGAATCAGGCAAATTATAGGGGGTGCGTTGTAGACCATGCCAGAGAGCTAGGCGAATTTATCATTATTACCAAAGGGCATTTTGCATTCCAACGACAGCAACAGGAGAGCTTCATATTCAAGATGATATGGGGACAGAACCAGATGGGTTTTCATAATAATAATAAAAAAATCAAGGGCAACAATAACATTGAAAGAGACCAATGGCCTGATTGTAACACTCACAGAGCGAACTTAGGCATAGATCCAAGAATCTAAATTATAGGCCTTTTTGTCATGTCAGTACGGTGCACCTAATGCTTGTCTTAGATCATCATCTTAGACTTGGATACACTATTTACTACTGTGTAATCCAATTGATGAGTCAACGATCCTGTAAGTAGATAACCAAAAATTTATGACAGACGGTATAAAATAATGATATATATGGCAACATATATCTAACGTCTATGATTAGCTTAGTTTATGATGGCAGGATGTTTCTTAGAATAAAAGGTTACAATTGTGGTAAAAAATCAGCGAAAACTTTTAACATCTTAGACACTACTGCATGATAGTGGCAGCCACAACAGGAAAAGGTTCCCAAAAATCCCGATGCAATATAACAAAAGTAATCTATTTAGCCAAACAAAAAAAAGGATTTAATGTAAATGCTACAATTTTTTTTATTGATTCTAAGCTTATACCTCATTTACCAAATTAACAAATTAGAATACGCTCAAGATTGGCTATTCAATTTAAATATTGCAAATATGTTTTTGGTCCTCTTAAAATATCATTCAAGAAACATGTCTCAAGTGGAGAAAGAGCTTAAGTAGCAAAGCTGTATCTGGATTGATCTTTTCGGTACAGTTGCTTTCGTACCTACCTATGCATGTGAAATGACAAGACCCATTCTTGTCTTTCCACTTTGGGCTTGTCTGCCCTGGCCGTTGCCTTAGGCTCCAATGCATTGCAATGGTCCCATAATAGAATGTGCCGATAATCCAGTGGTAATGCTACAGCCTTATAGGGATCAACTTTATCCTACATTTCTACGGTATTCCTTGCTATTATATAATCGGGACTCCTGCCAAAAGTTCTGTGCCAATTTAAAGGCTAGCTAAATCCTTGGTGTGTTGCATTAGCATCGAGATGCCATATGTATGAAAACATACAATTCTGCTTGATAGCATTTGAAAATGAACTGCAAAATATGAAAAAATAGCATGGAATCAAGGCAACTTAAATACCTGTGGTATGCACCCAAGCTCAAGAAGAAGTGGGCCGAGGATGAAACCACCACCAGATCCAAGAAGGCCACCAACAGTCCCACCGAGAAGGCCACAGAAGGCACAGAAGATCAGTTGTGCAGGTGACCACTCAATAGAGGCCTCACACACACATTCCAGGTTCCCATTCATACGCCGTGCACGACTCTCCCTACATAGCTGCATGGCCTCCCACAAGAATACACTCACAGCAACCGGAACCTAAAGTAATTTAGCAGAATGTTAAAAGTATCAATGATAAGGTGATTAATGTGATGTATAACAGAATCAACACCCAGCTTTCAGTTTGCAACAAAATAAAGGCTAATGCTCAATGGAGAGTTGAGATATGCTCAAAAGGTGGCTGATGGATATGCCAAAAATCTAGGCCTAACGTGGCTTATGTTTTAAAAAGATGATTGCCCAAACGCAACAGAACAAATGGTTACTATTACAACTGGAAAAGCCAGCCTGGCAAGCAGACATAATGTCAGTTTAAACAAATAGAAGCACAAAGCTGAGCTATTCATTACCTGTAGAACGTTGATCACCCAGTAGAAAGTGCCGCATGATTTCGCATTATTCTGCAAGTAATCGAAAACTTACTGCAGTTAATAACAATTTCCATCTAAAGGAGACAAAGGAGTCGAAAGACCACTGAAAGGTCTTGTATGCACATGTGTGCTAGAATAACTTAGGTCTGGACAGTCAACAAAGGTAACTGATCCAAAGTGATTGTAATTGTATGGGAAAAATGAGGTCATTATCTTTCAGAGGCATCAATCATTGCTATGAAGATGTGGACCGTATTTAAATAGGAGTTATAAAAAATAGTTCAGAAGGGAGACCTTGAGAACTTGCAGCACCAAGAAGGATGACCAGACAGACATTAAAACAAGGATATTCTTCCACCTCAAATTGAACACGAAAGTCTCCTGAAATAAAAAGGGGGGCAAAATCCAGTGATTAGATGACATGTGACACTGTCTTTTGTTTCTTCTTGCTTTCTTGCATGTTCAGAGCATCTATCAGCGTCACCCTAGGCCCTAACCATGTTAATATATACACGAAGAATCACTGAATAGATCTGAATAATATCTGTCAACCAATCATGGCAAAGTTGCAAAGGTGGATCTGAAAGCACATTCATAATATATGATTACGTTAAGAACCACAATTGCTTAGGAAGCCACGAATGTCAGTGATAGGTATTTGTAGTGGTTGTAACTTACCAATGCAGACTTCTTCTTGGGCTGCGGCTGAGTCAGGAGGGGCTCCTCATAACTCGGATCAATTACCACTGCAACAAGTTCATATTTGACCACAACATGTTACTCCATAATATGAATATCAGCTCAAAGTACAACTAACTGTACAAGTAACTGATGCCAATCGCTATCAACAAAGCTGCCAAAGTATCATGCAATGATGTACTAGTTCTTGTTAGCCCACAGGATCACCGGCTCAGGTGAGTAAACCACTCACCAGTCTTGCCGAGCACCCGCTAGTATTGCCGAGCACCCACTAGCTAAGCCGACCATAAACAAGTGTTGTCCGTCCCCACACACTATGGCTCGAGGTTGAAGAAGAGGGAGAACAGAGCATACACACACAGTACAAGACACCAGCGTTGGCCTAAGCCCTGTATGTGATATGACAAATCTGAGCTCTCTTTACTGAGTTGCCGTGGTAGTCTATTTATACAACTCTATCCAACTAGTCCTAGTACAGCGCACATGCTGTAACAGTAACTAGATAACATATAGGGCTAACTCTGCGCCGGCCTCTACATGTGGCTACAGTGCTGCAGGTGAGCCGTGCGGCGCCTGCACCTGCAGCGGCTACAGTATCACAGCAGGAGGCCAGATCGGTGCCGCCTTCCCTTGCTGTGTTCACACAAGGAAATCAGTAGTTTATTCTAACAATTCTTCCCCTAAACCTACTGTTATCCCTTGTACCCCTTCCATACCGATCATCTCCTTCAGCTCCGTGAGTCGAAGACGTCCGAGCTGCTTGGTGAGGACGTCCGCGAGTTGTCGACCAGTTTCGACGAACTCGATGACGATCTGCCATCCATCGACACAGTCCCTGAGGAAGTGGAACTTTACGTCGATGTGTTTGCTCCGGTCGTGCAGAACCGGATTCTTTGCGAGTGCGATGACGGGTTGGTTGTCCACCATCAATGTTGGTGGGTGAGCTTCCACGCCGGTCAGCTCGCCCAGCAGCCGGCGTAGCCACACAACTTGGCACGCCACTGTGGCCGCTGCTACGTACTCTGCCTCGCACGTAGATAGCGCCACCACCTTCTGTTTCAGCGACAGCCATGAAATTGGGGCCGACCCGAGGAAGACGAGCACGCCAGATGTGCTCCGTCGTCCGTCAATGTCCCCCGCCATGTTTGCATCGCTGAACACAATGAGCTGCAGCCTACTCCCGCCGGTCTTTGGGAAGATGATCCATTGATCCACCGTCCCCTTGACGTAGCGCAGTAGCCGCTTCACTGCAGCCCAGTGATCCTCTCTGGGATCCTCCATGAAGCGACTGACGTAGCCCACGGCGAATGCAATGTCCGGCCTCGTGTAGACTAGGTAGCGCAGACCGCCGACGATGCTCCGGTAGAGTGTTGCATCCACCTTCGCCGCGGTGCTGGCCTTCGTCAGCTTCAGCCGCTCCTCTATCGGAGTTACGCATGACTTGCACTCAGCCATACCGCTCCTCTCCAACAGCTTGGAGGCATATGCGCTCTGACCGAGCGTGAGTTCCTCCTTCCGCTGTCTCACCTCGATGCCGAGGTAGTAGGAGAGTGCGCCGAGATCGCTCATTCGAAAACGAGCCGCCATCTCGCGCTTGAAGCTATTGATGTCCTCCGTGCGCGCGCTGGTGACGATTAAGTCATCCACATACACGCCGACGACGAGCTCCTCCTTCCCCCGTCGCCGCGTGTAGAGCGCGTGCTAGGTTGCGCACCGTTGAAACCCAAGCTCGCCCAGCGTGGCGTCAAGCTTGGCGTTCCATGCTCGTGGGGCCTGCCGCAGCTCGTAGAGCGCCTTGCGCAGTCGGAGCACCCTGTGCTCCTTTTCCTTGACGACGAAACCTGGAGGTTGCCCGACGAAGACCGTCTCCGCCAGCTCACCGTTGAGGAAGGCCGATTTAACATCCAAGTGATGGACGCGCCAGTCCTTTGCTGCTGCCAAAGCTAGTAGCAAAACGGACCGACTCCATGCGTGCTACTGGCGCAAAGATCTTCTCGAAGTCTATACCCTCGCGCTGAACAAAGCCTCGGGCGACGAGGCGCGCCTTGTGCTTGACAATAGCGTCGAGCTCGTCCCGCTTGACCTTGTACATCCACTTCAGGCTGATCGAATGACATTCTGGAGGTGGATCGACGAGCTGCCATGTCTCGTTTTCATCGATCGCCTTTATCTCCTCCAGCATCGCCCGTCGCTAGTTTCCGTCCCGCTCGGCTAGAGCGAACGAGGGTGGTTCCTCTGCACTGACGAGTAGCAGCTCTACGTCATTGAGCAGCCGACCAGCCAGTCCTGAGGGTCCTGTGCCGCCGACGATGTCGTCCAGCCTGCGGAACCGCACCTCTTCACCTTCGTGGAAGGCATCCACGAACTCAGTGATGTCACTTGGAGGTGAGGCGAACTCGATCGGCGTCGATGGAGTTCCCTGTTCCGCCGGAGTGCTCGGCACCCTGGTTGCAGTGTTCGGCACTACTTCTGGACAGCTCGTCATAACTCCTGCAGTGTTCGGCCCCACTGTAGGAGTGCTCAGCCTCGGTCTTGGAGTGGTCGGCACCACTGTAAGACGTCTTGGCTACGCCACGGGAGTGCTCGGCACCCGTCCTGGAGTGGTCGCCACCACTGCAGAACCTCCCGGCACCACTCCTGACGTGCTCGGCATCCCTCTAGGAGTGCTCGGTACTCCTCCCGGAGTGTTCGGCATCCCTCCCGAAGTGCTCGGCATTGCCCCAGGAGTGCTCGGCTCTGTCGCTGGAGTGCTCGATGCTCCTCCTGGAGTGCTCGGCACCTCTTCCCCAGCGTCTCCACCACCGTGAATGACCAAGTGCTCAACGACGAAGGTGATGGTGAAGCCGCCAGCTTCCCCCGTGCTCGGACTGCTCCAATCCCAAGCCGCTTTCTCGTCGAACAGGACGTCGCGCGAGACAAGCACCTTGTCTCCGCGTGGGTCGTAGAGCCGGTACGCCTTGGTACCCTCCGCGTAGCCCAGGAATACCATGGGTGTGCTCCTGTCCTCCAGCTTGGTGAGGTTCGGCTTCGTCTTTCTGACGTGGCTGATGTAGCCGAATGTCCGGAGGAAGGACACGCTCGGCTTGAGCCCATACCAGGCTTCGAACAGCGTCTTGCCCGTTAGGGCTTTGGTCGGAGCGCGGTTGAGGATGAACACCGCCGTGGTCACCGCCTCCCCCCAGAACCTTGCCGGCATGCCTTTGGCCTTCATCATGGATCGGGACATGCCGACCACCGTCTGGTTCCGTCGCTCCACCACGCCATTCTATTGTGGCAAGTACGACGCGGTGTGGTGTCGCACCACACCCTGATCCGCGCAGTACGCAGCGAACTCCACCGAAGTGAATTCGCCGCCGCGATCCATCCTCAGCAAGCGGAGCTTCTTGCCGCTCTCGGCCTCCGCGCGTATCTTGAACTTCTTGATCGCCGCCGCCGCTTCGTCCTTGCCCGTCAAGAGTTGCAGCCACATGTAGCGACTGCATTCATCCACGAGCAGGAGGAAGTACCGCCGACCACCGTTTGTACCTGGCGTGATCGGTCCGCAGAGGTCGCCGTGGACGAGCTCGAGAGCGTCCTTCGCGCGATACTTGGCCGTCTTTAGGAATGGTAGCCTTCTCTGCTTCCCGACCAGGCAGCTGTCACACAGCTCGCCTCCGTGCTTGATGTGGGGTAGCCCTCGGACCATCTTCTCCAGCCGACCAAGCGCGTCGAAGCTGAGATGTCCGAACCGGGCATGACACATCCACGGTTCCTCGGAGTGCCTTGCTGCTAGGCACACCGGCTGCTCTACCTTCAGGTCGAGCAGGTACAACCGGTTCAGGGACCTCTTCACCTTGGCGAGAAGTCGCTGCTCCCGGTCCCTGATCCTAAGGACTCCGTCCTTGATCAGTACCTCGCTACCGCGCTCATCTAGCTGACCAATGCTGATGATACTGGAACGCAGTTGCGGGATGTAATATACATCCGTTAGCGCGCGGTGCTCCCCGTTCTGGCACCTGAAGATGATGGTGCCGCGCCCTTGGATAGCCACCCTTGAGCCATTACCAAACTTCACCGTACCGGTAACATCGTCGTCGAGCTCGGAGAAGGATGCCTTGGAGCCCGTCATGTGGTTGCTGGCACCAGAGTCCAGATACCACCGCTGCTCCTGGTCGGCGCCCACACGTCCGAGGTGGACTTGGCCGCGTGGTTCGTTGAGGTTGACAGTCTTCAGGGCCTTCCCAGGTCCTTCCACCGTCGTCGCCTCTTCCTTCTCCTCGGTCTCGACGTCGTGCAGTGCACAGAATGTCGCCATCAGGATAGTGGCCTCATCCTCATCATCAGGTTGCGCCAGATGGGCTTCAGCCTTCTTCTCCTGCTTGCGATTTGGCCACTCCCGTGCCCAATGGCCCATCTTCCCACAGTGTCTGCAGGCGTTTGGGTCGACTTGCTTCTTCTTCTCCGAAAAAGTCTTGCCGCAGCGCTTGCCATCGCCACCGCGGCTGGAGGAGGCTGCCTCCCGGAGTTCCTCCGAGCAGCCCACTCCTCTTCCGTCAGCAGCAGTTTACCGCTGTCCTTCGTTGCTGTCATATCCTCAATGGTGAGGGTGGACAAGTCCAGCATCGTCTCTATGGAGAGAGCGATCTGGATGTACTTTGCCGGCACGGAGTGGAGGTACTTGAAGACCGCCTCCTCTTCGTCGACGGTGACGCCATGGCTCTTCAGCTTGCTGATGAGCGTCTGCAGGCGGAGGAAGAAGTCATCCACCGTTTCAGCATCCTTGAACTTGAGGTTGGCGTACTCCTGCTTTAGAAGCTGGGCCGTCGCCTTCTTTGCGCGGTCGGAACCGACGCGCATCGCCGCAATAGCCTCCCACGCCTCCTTAGCCGAGTTCTTCGCCCCCAATGGCTCCCTGTACTCCGCCAGTACAGCAGCGAGGATAGCCTCCAACGCTGACATGTCATCTTCCTCATTGTCGGTGCCCTTGTCAACAATATTCCAGAGCCGTCGGGCTCTGAGCTTGACCTTCATGGTCACCGACCACTCTCCATAGTTGGTGCGAGTCAGCGTCGGCCAACTGGTGCCACTGACCTCCCGCACCGTGCGAACAACGACCTCCGGTCGTGGCTGGGTAGCCACAGCAGTGCCACTGCTGTCGCCCATCTCCGAACCGCCCGTCATCGCCAGCGGTTAGTCTGACGACGGCGTTTGTACGGCTCTGATACCACTTGTTAGCCCACAGAATCACCAGCTCAGGTGAGTGAACCACTCACCAGTCTTGCCGAGCACCCGCTAGTGTTGCCGAGCACCCACTAGCTAAGCCGATCACAAAAAAATGTTGTCCGTCCCCACACACTATGGCTCGAGGTTGAAGAGGAGGGAGAACAGAGCATACACACACAGTACAAGACACCAGCGTTGGCCGAAGTCCTGTATGTGAGATGACAATTCTGAACTCTCTTTTCTGAGTTACCGTGGTAGTCGATTTATACAACTCTATCCATTTAGTCCTAGTACAACGTACATGCTGTAACAGTAACTAGATAACATACAGGGCTGACTCTACGCCGGCCTCTACATGTGGCTAAAGTGCTGCAGGTGAGCCGTGCGGCGCCTGCACCTACAATATCACAGCAGGGGGCCAGATCGACGCCGCCTTCCCTTACTGTGTTCACCCCAGAAAAGCAGTAGTTTATTTTAACAGTTCTCACCATCACCTGCAAAGCAGGTAGACTTGGATTGCTCCTCTCGCTCGCGTGTCTCCATCTGCAATCATTCAACATAAGGGTAAACAAAAGGAGATGTCAGTATACAGTAATTTAACGGCAGACATCTGAAAAAATGTGACAGGAACCAACCAGAATCCTGGTCTCCTCCCTTCACATCAGAATTCCCTTGTAGAACGATCTCGACGAAGTGCCTGCAATGAATCGGTCACACAAGCACAGGCTTCCATCTCAGCGACTACACAGTACGCAGGACAGATAAAAGTAGCAGGGCCGCACATAACAGTAGCTTATGGCGGCAGGCTAAAGGCAAGTGATGATTACCTACGAAGAGGATTATGATGAGGACAGTGATTAGCCAGTACGGGAAGATGACGCTGAGCTCTACGCCGATGGTTATGCCGAGCATAAGCATGGGCTGGAAGAGCAGCGCGAGCTTGTAGTCGATGACGGGCGCCTCCTTGGTCGGGTGTGACACCTGGAGGTTGTACCAAACCGACGACGCCGAGGCCCCCATGATCATGCCTGCGCCCAAACCGAACCGAACCAGGCGAGCTAGCACGCGTGTCAGGAAGCAAATCAGCAGATGCATGCATCGGCAAAAGGCTAGTAGCTTACATTTGGAGAGCGCGGCGGCGGATTTGGTGTCGAAACCGACGACGAGGTTGAGCATGGGCACGAAGATCCCGCCTCCGCCGACACCGCCGACGGTGCCGAACGCGGAACCGAGGAACCCGACAACGGTGGCGACCACTACCCGCCAGTTGAACGCGAGGTCCTGGGGAGAGAGAGAGAAAAACACCATCTCGATCCGCGACGTGAGCACAGCGTCAGGCACGCAGAGCGAGCACACGAAGCACGCGCAAGAGGAGGAGGAGGCAAAAGAGCGAACAGCTTACGGGCCAGACGCGCGGCGAGCGCGAGGACAGGCGGAGTCGCACGCCATCGTTGCGCGCCGCAGATGCCGGCGGCCGGTCCGCGGCGGAGAGGACGAAGCAGGCGAGGACGGCCGCGCAGGCGGCCCCGGCGGCGACGTAGGCGAGGAACCCCCGCGTGCTGCTCCTGTTAAGGCAGCCGTAGAGTGAGCCCGTGCGCCCCTCCATCACCATGCAGGCAGCAGCAGTAGTGTGCTAGCTACGCCGCCACAAGTGGACGAAATGCGGGGTAGGAGAGGACCAAGGACGGAGGAGAGAGAGGAACGGCCGGCGCCTGCCTCCGCCTCACTCTTTTATAGGCGGCGGCCCGGCCGGAGGGCACGCAGGCAGTCCCGAATTTTTTATTTTTTAACCTTTTTTTTAATTTTTTCATAAATATGTCTTTGGAGTTAATATTTTAAAATCTGGAGCTTTAGCTCGGCGCCATTGTCATTGGCGCTGAGCTTACACTTATCGGCGCCATCGTTGCTGACGCCGAGGTCTTGAACTCGACGCAGACGTGACGGTGACTTGGCAGGCAGCTCGGCGCCGTAGATCCTGACGCCGAGCTTCACGCCGTAGATCGTGGCGCCGAGCTTGACACCGTAGATCTTGACGCCGAGCTTGACGTCGATGTGGTGTTTTAACCCCGTCCCCAACATGGCCGAGCCTTCTTCCTCTTCTTTCTCCTCCCTCGCCTCGCCGTCGCATTCGTCGTCTGTGTACCGCCGCCTCGCAGCCTCCGCCTGCTCTTCCTCTCCCCCGTCTGCGACCTCCACCGCCTGCGCCCTCCGCCGAACGCTGCGCGGCCAGCAGGGCGCGGCGGCGCTCCGGCCCACCTCCGGCCAGCTGCGACGACACCACGCCAGAGCGCCCCTCCCTCCCCTCCCGCCTGCGCCCTCCCCCGGCCGCGCAGCGCGGCACGAAGGGCGCCGCTACGCCACGCTGCACCAATGCGGCCAGGGCACGCCGTGGCCCCGCAACAGCGCCGGCCTGCCTCCGGCCATCTCCCTCGCGGCGCTTCGTCCTCGCGTACTCCTGCAGCAGTGACGGCCGCGCCCACCGCCTGCAGGCGCAGGGAGGCACCAAGCGTCCTCCGCCGTCGCCCAGGGAGATGGGAGCAGCATGTAGGCTCTCCTTTTTCTCTCTCTTTTTATTTCCTCAATTTTCCCATATGATATATTGATATGCACATGAAAATTCATTTGCAGGGCCACTCCCTCTCGCTGATAGTGTCTACCTCCTCCTCCTGCATCATGTGACAGCCACGAGCAAACCACTTGAAGTATATTGTTAATTCTATGAAGATAAAAAAGGGAAACGGAAAGATAAGGTGCATATAGGTTACTGTTATTACACTATCTCAGGACTTGTTTGTTTACTGCGCTTTCTGTAAATAATGATATAAGGATATAGTTGGATTTGGTCATAATACCTAATACAGTTTGATATTACTGTTAGATCTTTCATCTGCCGTCACACTGCCTATTACTCAATTAATCAACCATGAAATCACAAGTTCACAAGTTGCGTTATTTCCAAAAGATATATGACAAATTTTACAAGCTCACAATGTTAATCAACCATGAAATCAGGTTGGTGGTGAAAAGATGTATGACAAAGCACGGAGGGGTGAAACAGTAGAGCTTTCACCAAGACGTATATCAATATACCAATTTGATATTGAGCGCAGTTTGGAAGATAGATATTCTTACATTCCCTTTTTTCCTACTTTTGAATTCATAGCAGATAATAAATATCTGGTCAGTGTTCATATAATTACCTGTACTCCTCTTGATGATGTTTTTTTGGGTTGCATTCTACAGACAGAATTTGATATTTCGTGTTACTCGCTCAAAAGGAACATACATTCGGTCCCTATGTGCGGACTTGGGTAAAGCACTTGGAAGGTTTGCACAATTATTCCTGTGTTAGCCTTATTTTCTATTTTCTTTTTGTGTGTGCAGTCTGCATAAATGAACATCAGCATGTATAATGTGCTCTAAGTGATACAGTGTCAGGATTACATTTAGATTTCCTTTTCAGGTTTCTATAAATGTTTCAGTTGTTAGGATTGTGCAATATCCTTTCACTTATTCAGCCTGTTCGCTTGTTGGTTTCAGCCAGCCCAAACCAGCCAGCCAACAGTGTTTTTCTCTCAAAAAAACTAGCACTAGCCAGCCCAAACCAGCACCAGCACCAACCAGCGAACAGGCCCATTGTCATCCTTTTGTGGTAGCAAGTTACTTTATGTGTCCAACGGAGTTCTAAATTTCATTGAACACCATAAGCCTAAAAGTCTGCGTAGAGCCTAGCCCCTATGTGTTTTGGGCCTATGCTTATGCACCCTGCTTATACTTGCTCTGCCAAAGTTTTAACCGAGTCTACATCTTGGCCAATTGGCATACATACTAATAGTACTCACTTGGAACTTACCCTTACTAACAGGCCCAAGTTTGATATTCATATTTCACAAGTATTATTTTCATGTCTTTGGGCTGGAAGTTTTTTTTAAAAAAAAATAACTTAGCTATTTTACTGAAGTTGGCTAGTTTCATGTATTTGTTGCACTGAACCCAAATACTTGTTCCTCTTCTTTTTTTTAAGATATTACTCTTGTCGTTTAATTGTAGAATAACCCCATGCTCCTTTTTCCCTCATTTTCATTTTAGTAACTGTTCTTATCCATCGACATCTCTTTTATGCTAATATATTTCGGTGACCAAATTCACTCTATACATTTTCCCGCAGCTGTGCTCATTTAACTGCCTTGCGGAGAGACTCAATAGGTAATTTTCTGTTCTGTGCCTCTTGGCTACTGTCTACATGGTTCAGCTGTAGTTCTAGTCCAGTGAAGATTTGTTGCTTGTGAAGGTTTCTAAGGCTTATTTTGCAGGTGAATACTCGGTCAACGATGCTTGGAACTTCAATGAGCTTGAGCAACAAATCACCAAGGGATATTTATGATCATTAATTAAACCTTCCTTCTGGACTATGGAGAATGCGAGCTAGGTAGCATGCGGATTGCAACCAGTGGCCATGTCATTTGCCACCAACACTACCAGAGAACAGACTTTAGAACGATGTTCCAATTTAACATTAGCCTCAACATTTTTTCCTTTAGTCCCGGTTGGTAATACCAACCGGGACTAAAGGTTCCTGCCCAACGGCTACTGCGACAGACTTTTGCTGTAGGGTACCTTTAGTCCCGATTGAAGCTACCAACCGGGACTAAAGGTTAACTTTTACTCCCGGTTGGTCCCTCCAACCGGGAGTAAAAGTCTACTCCCGGCTGAAGGCTACGTCCGGGACTAGAAAAGGACCTTTAGTCCGGTTGCTGTCTCCAACCGGGACTAAAGCTTGAAACTGTAACAGGCAGTCTTCTGAGCGGGGACTGACAGCGTGCTGTCCCGGTTGCATTTATTGCCGTGCTCTAAGCTCTAAGCTCTAAGTTTTAGTCCTGGTTGCATTTATTGCCGTGCTTTACTCGTACTAGAAAGCTTAGAGCTTGAAACTTCAGTCAGAACTAAAGCTTAGAGTTTGAAACTCCAACCGGGACCCATATGCATGTTTCAAGCTTTTAGTCCCGGTTGTCGTGCTTGCATTTGTACGCAGGAATTGAAACTCTAACCGGGACTAAAGTAGCAATAAGAAACGAAGACGTACTTGACGGTGCTTTACTTGTACCTGCTTGCATTTACGAGCTTTAGTCCCGGCTTGCATTTACCTGCTTGCATTTATTGCTGACACTGAAAACGAAGACCTTTAGTCCCGGCTGGTCCGATGCAACTGAACACGACCAAATCAATTAGTCCCGGCTAGTATTACGAGCCGGGACTAAAGGTATATCTTTAGCCCCGGCTGGTATTATCAGCCGGGACTAAAGGTCTTTTAGTCCCGGATGTTTACAGGAGCCTCGATGGGCCGGCCCAGTACGCAATATGCTGGAATTGCTGACCAGTCCCACCTATTAGCACCACCTCGCTTGCTCAGAAGAGTGAAAGCTAACTTAAAAGCTCAGCTCTCGAACCAAGCAGCACGAACTTGAACAGGATTGTACCACTGATCCTTGACTAAAGGTCCTTCGTACTATAGTTTATACAAAATGTTGAACATTATAAACGTACGTATATTCTAGCAGCGTAGAATACGTATTCAAAAACCAAAACGAATCATTAATTAAAAATAGAAAAAAAAGAAAAATAGAAATAGAAACAAAAAAACCTGGTAGCAGCGTGAAAATAGAAAAAAAAAGGAAAATAGAAATAGAAAAAAAAAAAAAAAAAAAAACTTTAGTCCCGGTTGGGGTTACCAACCGGGACTAAAGGGTGCGGCCACGTTTGCTCGGCTAGAGGGCCTTTAGTCCTCGATGACCCGGGACTGAAGGTTCCACCTTTAGTCCCGGGATCATTGTCCCGGCGCGGTAACCGAGACTAAAGGCCGTTATCGTCCGGGACAACAAAGTCATCCTGTAGTAGTGCAATTATATAGAAATTAGCGGGTAACCCCGGGCTTCGCGCGGGCAAGAGACTAACAATGTAGACAATGTATAACAGTTTTAGATGCAGTGGCAAAGGTGGTATATATCAGTCAATTATGATTTAAACACTCCATTTTAACACGTTGCACGGGCTAGAAATGCAGAAGCAATAAGTCGTCCTTTTATTGCCTAATAGCATATAATCACGTACAAATGTGTGTGTATTTCCTCTTGCATACCAAGCCGCAAATAAAGTCGCATACAAAGGTACTTGAGCAAACATACTGCTGTTACATATGAATAGCATAACCAAAATAGGTAAACTCGCTAAGCTGCTAAAAATTCGCTACCCTTGTCAAATTGGAGAAGTGTGAAGCACACATGGTGGAAGGATGTCCTGACGATGATGCCTAAGAGGTTGGAGCTATGAGCACTATAAGGCTCCGTTCGGATGGTATGGTTCTGGAGGAATTTGGATGGTTTGGAGGAATTTTGAAGGAATTTGTGAGAGAAAAATATTATTCCAAATGAAAAAAGAAACGGATCCAGCTGGGTTCAAGGACACGCGAACGGCCCTTAAGCCTTTGATGAGTTGACTGATCGAGTCTGACACACTGTGGTCATAAGAAAGATCAAACTATGAATTGACAGGTGTGGAAAAAAAAACTACAGCAAGACTGCAGAGATGAGTATTCAGTAAGAGCATAAGGCAACG